CCCGGTTCGCCCCGATTATGTTTCTAGGTTTGTCAGCACATACCCGTGCTCATACCCGAAGTGGTAAACGTCTGAGACCTGCATGACATCGGGCTTTCCTCCCACATTAAGCTGACACTCCGTGATATAACTCGAATACGGTTAAAAGCGGCGTTAAACCCAACTCACTCACTCACAAACGTGACGTCAAAAACATTGTCATACAAATGTGACACCAAAAGCATTGTCTTACAAACGTGTCACCAAAATCATTGTCTTACAAACGTGACACTAAAAGCATTATCTTACAAACATGTCACCAATAGTAAAACATTTACTTTCAAACATTCCACCAAAATATTCTCTCACAAACATGTCAACAAGAGTAACATATTCTCGATTTTCATCAGGATTAGTTTTGGCTACAAACCAACTGTTAACATGCACAGCAATTAACGGTAAACTAAACACATGGACCACACCTCCATGCACAAACATAACTCACAAAATGCTACATCAGCTTATTTCTTGTAAACAGAACAGCTGTGTTACCTTGGCGATCGATATCTATCTTATCCAATCACCTGATTGGCTGTCGGAGTCAGGAGATTTCTGAACAGCTGATGTTAGAAATATATATTACATATGCACTGCATGTACACACATACGACAATTACGTCGAAGAATTTATGTAAGGCACCTAAAATTGTAAAGGAACGAAAACCTAGAATATAATGAAAGCAACTTTTCACTCTTTATCGACTATGCTTTAAGCAATATTTTCTTATGAATATGAAAAAGGTTTTGTCGCTTTTATTTGTACAATATTATTGGTACTATGATAATGAGTGAGTGAGTGTGGTTTTAGGCCGCTTGTAGCAATATTCCAGCAATATCACTGCGGGGGACACCAGAAATGGGCTTCACACACTGTACCCATGTGGGAATCGAACCCAGCCCTCGACGTCACGAGCGACCGTTTGAACCACTAGGCTACCCACAGCCCCTGTTACTGTAAGAGGTTCTCAACAGTGATTCACAGGTTTCCCCAGAAATCAACACAGCAACGACAGTCACCACAAGGACGTCATCGTTAATTTTATTATTATACATACATATAAAGAATACGTGAAAATAAGTGCAAATAGGGTAACTTTATATTCATTCCTAAGCTAGTCCTGCACCATGACTGTGGAACATAAAAGCAATCTCGGAAGCTCTAGCTAGCTCTAAAATTATATGTTTAAGGGTATTGTGTAGTATAAGATTTCGTAGACTAAATGTCATTCTAATTACTAAGACTACGTTCAGAGTTAAAAGACTCAAACCTCTCTATGATCTATAGTGTATACGTATGTTGAATCGTCATATACTCGTGGTGAAGACATAATTTAATTAATTTCGAATATGTTAGATGTTAAATCACTTATGTCAGTAATGGCTTTGTCGTCGGTAACTGGGAACAATTTTACAACACGCAATTTACAGGTAGACACAAGTATGATCGTGACCACTTTCAGTATATATCACGGAACATTGAAACGAGACCATTATTGCAGTAATGTACAACAGGCATGTGATGGCGAGCAAACTCACGATTCTAGGTAAAATTAGAACCTGACCTGGTGGATATTGAAATAAACGTCAGTCGCGTGGTACATTGCAACAGCTGGCTCAGGGTCGGGGAGACACACAATGGAGTCCAACTATGTCGCTATTCGGAATATAAGGCGGAGAAGGATATGCGGTATATTCGTGTTTCATACTAAAGTATGTGCATTTTAAGATAAAAAATCATTGATTTATAGAATGATATGAAGACTGAAACTAGACTTCCTTACTGTATACGTCGGTTGGCTGGTTTGTTGTTTTACGCCGCACTTAGCATTATTCCAGCTACATGACGGCGGTCTGTAAATAATCGAGTCTGGAAAAGACAATCCAGTGATTGATATCATGAGCATTTGGTATGCATCAACCAAGTCAGCGACCCTGACCACCTAATCCCGTTAGTCGACTTTTACGACAAGCATAGACGTGTAATCTCGACAGAGGGAAGTGCCCCGCAAGCTTAACGCCTTAAAGAAACATATACAGGAAACTACGTTTATAACGAACACACTTACAATGAACTGTCGGATATTACGAACTGTTCTTTTTGTTCTAGGCCATATGCTGTACATACATGTATGCTGCACATATGTGTATAATAAATTCCGGTTATAACGAACTAAAATTAGTGGTCCCTTTGAGTTCGTTATAACCGTAGTTTACTGTAGCAATGCTCTCGGTGTACATGTATCAGATATATCATCGGCTTTACACCGTATGCCAACGTTAGGTGTTGGTGTATAGGGTTCCTTTTTGTACTGTAGCTCGGTAGTCTATAAGGGCACTGTTTCTCAGAGAACAGTGAGTGCGTTGTGTTTAACGCCGCTTTTAACAGTATTCCAGTTATATAACGGCGTGTCAGCTTAATGTGGGAGGAAAGCCCGATGTGATGAAGGTCTCAGACGTTTACCACTTGGTGAAACCCACGAGCACGGGTATGTGCTGACAAACCTAGAAACATAATCGGGGTTAACCAGGATTCGAACCCACAATCATAGGTTTCTGGCGTGCCCAAGGGACGCAACCTTAGACGACTGGGCCTCCCGTGCCCCTCTTAGAAAACAGGTTCCAAGGTGTGGTTCCATGATGAAGGCAGTTGGAAGACCATTTGAGCCGAATTGAAGGTACTTCGTGGGTGTGACAAACAATGTCGACAATACGCTGGACTGTACATGTATTCTGAGTTTTGGTGAATACAACACTCACTCACACAATCAATCGCGACATGATGGCGGTTAGGTAGCCTTGTGGTTAAAGCGTTCGACCTAGTTACATCTCATCACGTCACGATCCTGTCGTCGTGTCAACTGTTAAATATTTCCGCTTTTTCGATCCGAACTATTGTACGTCCTTATTGACCACCTTAAATGTGGTACGCGGCTGCTATGAGCTCACCCGCCCACCGATCCCTTTCTTAAAACACGAACACTCGTCTTTATACAGACAACAGTTGTCACACTACCGTCTCACGTCATTTTGTCTGATGTAATACTCTATTTACGTCTTCGCGCATGTAAACGTGTTTTACGAGTGACAAGTCAAACAAGTGTATGTACTCATAGGTATCTCATTCTATGGTTCCCCGTGTAGGAAACCTATAACGCCTACCAAGAGAGAGTGAGTGAGTCATTCTGGATTAACGCCGCTTTAAACATTTCAGTCATATCACGACGTGTCAGCTTAACGTACTAGGGTAAACGTTGCAAGTTGTTGACATTTACCATTTTGGTGAAACCAATGGTGCTGATACGCCAAGGATTATAATCAGTTCGAATGTAGTATGCGAACCACAATCATCCGATCCTGACACAACAAGGGGAGGAAACTATACAGCGAGTAGAGAAGCTTTTAGATTAACAGCCAACCCTACCCTTCGCTCCCTGTCTAGCCTCGTTGTACAGACTGATTTCAGATAACGACAATTATTCTACATTATATTTTCTTCATTGTAAAACAGTTTTGCCACTGGAAAAACAAAAATGTTCGTCAATGGTTTGATAAAATACCTGTTTATTCGTAATCCAATTTCAATGGAATGTATTCACATATATGTAACGAACAACGTTTCCTGTCTGTTCAATATTGATTTTTAAAATACATATTAAATATTGAATTATTTGTCAGTTATTCATAAACACATGCTCATGATAAAGTAGGAATCGTGGAATCGACTCTGCTTATGGCAGATATTTATTATGAATATTTAAGGGTTTTGTCGCATTTATATCACATAATAATACGAATAAAATTGGAAAGAGACCTTAATACTCAGACGAAGATTAAACATTTGAAATCGTTGATAACACAATTCATTTCTCTGTTTAAATAAAATGTATCGTGTTCTTATTTAAAAACAAATAAATACAGCTAGCTAGGCGTGCCTGTAGACGTCTCTGTGTCGAGTGTAATGCACCGGTCAGGTCCGTTATTAAGTTATTAATGGAGATCAGTTTGTTATGATGCTGGTTTATTAGAAACTAATTCTTTTATTTACCTACAGTTCAAGATAACATTAAATTAACGCCGATATTCAACAAACATGGAATATGATTATGAACAATGTGAACATCAACTATTTATCAAGTGTATTTTCATGTAAAAGGTATATTTAACATTTGCCGGCTAAAGTAAGCATGCACTTTCTATATATATTCATATATGTATATATGTTTGATTATTGTGTTATTTAATTATTTAATTACATAATCTTGATGTTTTGAGAATCTTCGGATTTATCTGGAGGAAATAAAAACATTCATTTATTCATTCATGGTTCACACATGCACATGTAGTTTACACCTCAAAATTAGGATATTTTCAAAGTTCATAAATAAACAGTTGATAAGAAAATAGTATATATTTATATTGGAACTCGTTCTAATGTGTGATACTGATATCAATATTACAAATGAGGACAGTTACAGTGTATTAACGATTTGTATAACCCGAGAGACTATGATACACAGAGATGTTTTTTTCCACATGGATTAAAACAGGAATAGTTTGTTTGCCGAGAAGTAATGTTTGTATTGAGTAAGAGAACAAAAATACAATGGTCGCGTGAAGTAATGAAAACATGATTAAGTTTAATAATTGACTGCAAAATATGATACAGTGTCACAATTTCATGTAGATTACACTACGACATAATAATGCAATATCCAGTTTACTACAGTTGCTATCTGAGTTTGTATAATATTAAGTAATGAGGGCGCACCTGCATACACCGACAGACTTGCTATGTCCTTGTGTTGAGCAGGCGGTTGGCGGCATTGTGATCGATACACCAGGATTTAGACTATTTCCAGCTGGATGTTTGTTATTGTGTTGTCTGAATGTGAACTTGACCTGCTTCAGGTCAAGTAAACAATACAACAACAGTGGAGTGATGGTGACCCCCTGGGCTGCTCCGAGAGTGCAGTGACCGACTCTGTGGGTGCACTCCCGCATCAGGTGCCAACTGGGGAATTCAAGAACTGCCTGGAATTTGGAGCAGGATAAAATTACAATAGAAAAAGTTCGAAGTTGTCGATGTCAACAAGACAAATACCAGTAAAGCCCAAAATCAGATTTGTTCTTGATCTTGCAGTTGTGATGTAATGGTATTGGAACTTAGAGAACAATTGAATGATAGCCACTTAGTAGATCCTCCGAATTAATAGTAGAGGCTGTGTCGATGAGTGTACTATTGGACTGTGTGGGAAGTTTGTACTATTAGGCTTCGTGGAAGAGTCTTCTATTAGGTTGTGTTGAAGTGTGCAATATTTGGCTGTGTGGAAAAATGCAATAGGCTATGTGGAAGTGTGTAATATTAGGATGTGTGGAAGTGTGCAATATGAGGATGTGTGGAAGAATGTTATAGGCTATGTGGAAGTGTGTAATATTAGGGTATGTGGAAGTGTGTAATAATAGGCTGTGTTGAAGTGTGTAATATTAGGCTGTGTGGAAGAGTGTAATATCAGGCTGTGTGGAAGTGTGTAATATTTAGCTGTGTGGAAGTGTGTAATATTAGCTAAGTTGTGTGGAAGTGTGTAATATTTCGTTTCGGAAGTGTGTAATATTTAGCCAGTTTGAAATGTGTAATGTTAGGTTGTGTGGAAGTGTGTTATATTATGCTGTTTGGAAGTGTGTAATATCAGGCTGTGTGGAAGAGTGTAATATTTGGCTGTGTGGAAGTGTGTAATGTAAGGCTGCGTGGAAGTATGTAATATTAGGTTGTATGGAAGTGTGTAATATTAGGCTATGTGGAAGTGTGTAATATGAGGGGAAGTGGAAGTGTGTTATATTTAGCTGGGTGGAAATGTATAATATAAGGCTGTTTGGAAGTGTGTAATATTAGGTTGTGACGAAGGTTGTAATAATAGGGTATGTGGAAGTGTGTAATATTTAGCTGTGTGGAAGTGTGTAATATTTAGCTGTGTGGAAGTGTGTTATATTAGGTTGTATGGAAGTGTGTAATATTAGGGGATGTGGAAGTGTGTAATATTTAGCTGGGTGGAAATGTATAATATTAGGCTGTTTGGAAGTGTGTAATATTAGGTTGTGTCGAAGGTTGTAATAATAGGGTATGTGGAAGAGTGCTATATTTAGCTGTGTGGAAGTGTGTAATATTTAGCTGTGTGGAAGTGTGTTATATTAGGTTGTATGGAAGTGTGTAATATTAGGGTATGTGGAAGTGTGTAATATTTAGCTGTGTGGAAGTGGGTTATATTAGGTTGTATGGAAGTGTGTAATATTTAGCTGGGTGGAAGTGTGTAATATTTAGCCAGTTTGAAGTGTGTAATATTAGGGTGTGTGGAAGAGTGTAATATATGGCTGTGTGGAAGGGTGTAATATTTGGCTGTGTGGAAGTGTGTAATATAAGGCTGTGTGGAAGTTTGTAATATTAGGTTGTGTGGAAGAGTATAATATTAGGTTGTGTGGAAGTGTGTAATATTAGGCTGTGTGGAAGTTTGTAATATTTAGCTGTGTGGAAGAGTTTGATATCAGGCTGTGTTGAAGTGTGTAATATTAGGCTGTGTGGAAGTGTGTAATATAAGGCTGTGTGGAAGTGTGTAATATTAGGCTGTGTGGAAGGGTGTAATATTAGGCTGTGTGGAAGTTTGTAATATTAGGCTGTGTGGAAGAGTGTGATATCAGGCTGTGTGGAAGTGTGTAATATTAGGCTGTGTGGAAGTGTGTAATATAAGGTTGTGTGGAAGAGTGTGATATCAGGCTGTGTGGAAGGGTGTAATATTAGGCTGTGTGGAAGTGTGTAACATTTGGCTGTGTGGAAGAGTGAATCTGAATCTGATCATGTAAAATTTCTCTTTATGTTTTAAGGCCAAATGAAATATGTCTCGACGGGCAATCTAATCTCTTGCACTGACAATTTATATTTACAAGTCTAATTATTTGTGCAGAATATGCTGTGGATATTCAGTGATCCATTTATATACCGCTATTTTACATTTACGGTCATGGGAATCTGTTTAGTCGGATAATCGAGACTGGTTATCCTCTGGCATTGACGTTTTATATTTAGAATATTATATTTGATGTACTGACAGTCAAAAGATGGGAGTCTATGTCACACAAAAACTGTTTCTGTAAAGACGTTGTATGTTGTAGTTGTCATCGATTGCTTAATACAGTTAACACAAGAAAGAATAATCACGAAGAGTCTTAAAAAGATCACTATGGTTTCAATGTACACCTGTCTTTGGTAATACCATCATTGTCGCCATAGTCTCCAGAGCAATCCCAGCATCTCCTCCACAGAATATATGTCTATTAGATACTGATTCATAACCACATGATATAGTCGGAATCGTACAATGGGCTCTTCCATTCTACACTTCTTATGATCATGGAAATGTTTTAGTTGCTTTCGTTTAAATAAGTTTTGAAAGAACATTTGTGACTGGCATTGCATTTCCCTATTGTTGAGAATATATAGTTGGGAGTGTAACACAATTGTTTGCCATGTCTCAATCTCACGGTTATCAAACATATTTAATAATGAAATAAGCAAAAATAAAATAGCTTAATATGGTCAAACATCTACCAATGTGTCATTGTGCATGAGATCAGTGTCAGGCTGTTGGGGAAGTAGTTCCTCTCATAGGAAATGACAAACACTCACCACATCAATGTCTCCTCTTCCACTGCAGAACTTAGCCACATAAAAGCAGTGGGTTAGCAGAGAGCAGTCGAATTTTAATGATGCACATAGTCTGATAAACAGTGAAATCATCGGCTTTCCTGTTACATACTTGTCACAGTATACATAGGGGTAATAATGTCATTATTGTCTTCCACTGCAGAACTTAGCCACATAAAAGCAGTGGGTTAGCAGAGAGCAGTCGAATTTCAATGATGCACATAGTCTGATAAACATTGAAATCATCGGCTTTCCTGTAACATACTTGTCATAGTATACTTAGGGGCAATATTGTCATTATGCTCATTATATTTGAATGAAACATCAACTGCGATTAAGGAAATACAAATCTCCCATCCCCCATCCACCTACACACACATACCTACATGTACACACACTGTGTTGAAAGATGAACATATTACTAAAACGTTGAATTTTTAAGCGGCAGAATCTCTTCACTTGTACCAGCAGACCAAATTCAAAATTAACATACGGTTTTTATTTTTAACAAGATCAGCTAATGCGCAATCGTGTCACTGGATTTTCTGGCCCAATACCTGATTGTCGTGTTTGTCTACATGCCGCTGTCGCGTGGCTTCAGTATCTGTGTGCGGCTGCAGGCAACAAACATACACGTACGTTTTTAAGCACATTGTGTGAGTAGCTGGTGCTAACGGTAAAACAGGACATGTTTACCCCTTTCGCGAACACCTGGTGTCAGTGATTTTCACTGATCCATTCATATAAGTTTCACCACTGTTTTGCATTTTACGCCCAGTGGAATCTGTTTCGGTGGATATTCGAGACTGATTATTCTTTGGTGTTGACGTTTATATTAAATAGAAACATGTAATTCTCATCCGGCATATAACGACATAACTTAATTCATTTGTATCCTTCAATAATATATTATTAAATGTAATATTGTGATTTTTAGAAATATATTTTATACATCTTTGCGATTTTACATTTTGGGTATAAGAGGTTTTATGTCCAAAATGTTTTCACGTTTTTTAATTTTATTTGCAAGCAGTTAATTCGTAAAACATGGCGCCGAAATATATTTTATTTCTGGTAAAAAGCAACATGCACAAAGTACATATCATCTGGTTATGTTACTTAACGATAGGGGCGGTGGGGTAGCCTAGTGGTTTAAGCGTTCGCTCAAGCCGAATACCCGGGTTCGATTCCCCATATGGGTACAATGTGTGAAGCCCATTTCTGGTGGCCGTGATATTGCTGGAATATTGCTAAAAGCGGCGTAAAACCATACTCACTCACTCACTCACTTAACGATGCGTAGCACTGCGGAGACATACGTAGTACGTAGTATTCAAAGTTCGAAGTGGCTGTACGTTATCCCGCCCAACTATGCAGCAGCGAACATCCATGTGTACAAAGGTTCAAACAGATCATATGACGTAGGTGACATATTTTGATAACGAGCCACACTGTCGCACACTGTGTAATGCAGAGGACGCATGTCAAATGACATCATTTATTGTACGTCACTCATAATTTCATTTGAAGTGAGGTGAGGTAAAAAATTGGGTTGAACGTCGCGTCCAAGATTATTGCACTTATATAGCGACGTGCATGTACGTGTGTGTGTTTGTGTGGCTGCTTGTACTAGTCCGGACTGATGCCGATATATAGTGCTAGCTCACTGAGATACCATGCCGCAGTTTAACATGAATACCCAACTCAGACACAGTATACTGACTCTGAGCAGACCAGTCCTTGCTTTAGCCCCTTAATGCCGAGCGCCAGACAGGGTAACAACAAGTGCCATCTTTTAACGTCTTTTGGTATGACGCGGCCGGGGATCGAACCCCGGACCTTCCGCTCTCCGGGCGGACGCTCTACCACTAGACCACGGAGGCGGTCGAATTTCATTTGGAAATGCACAATAAATAAATGCATGGTGCATAAACTTGTCTTGCACATAATGTATATCATTTGAACAATCATCGCTCAAATTATTTTCATCCTAAAGTCACGGTCGACAGTTCTAAAAGTCATACGAAAACGATTGTACGATTCCGAGCACATCTAAAGCACGTGTTTGTGAATTACTGTCAAATACTGATGATACCAGGTGTTAACGAAAAGGTGAGCGTATCCTGCCCCACAGGTGGCACCCGTCACAAACACATGCACAGGCAAGTCAAGTGTTCAATCCAGTATATGTTTGTCATTCTAAAGACGTCTATGTGCACATTGTTACAGTTATATAAGATGCATCTCATCCACTGACTACAAAACAAATTCAAAATGCAACATGCGTGATGAATAAATGCATACCCCCCACGTGCATGCATTACGTAAATGCATCATGCATGCAGTTGAATATTTCTTAAGACATAATCATTAATGCAATGCATACAACCTACATGACTTGATATAATAT